CTCAGTGGCTGCTGCCCAGTCTGGTTCCAAGGAGTCTTTCCTCAAAGGCCAAGACAATCCTGGAAAGGGCCCTGCCCCCTCCCCCTGACTTTTACTGAGAGAAATCAATCCTAGAATTCTGTGGTTGTCCAGCAACTACCACTGAGGGATTCTGTTTTTTGAAGGTACAAGTACCCCTTTTATCATTTTGGTTGTTTTTTTAGCCCTCCTAATGTATTTCTTTTAGGTTTCAGATTTTTCTGCAACCTTGGGCATTTTTCAGGTTTGTAGAAAGATCTGTCTTGCCTGTTCACAGCTCCAATAACCAGATTTAAGTTTCCTCGGATCTGGCTGACTTGACTATTAGAATACGCAATTGGGGACCAGCAATACTCACGGGGAAACCCCTTCCCCCACTATCACTGCTGGTGGGCTGGCATGGATCCCAGCCACCCCACCACCACCACCACTGCTGCTGCCGCCACATGGCTCCCTCACTGCCAGCTCAGCGGGGGGGGGGGGGCGGACAGCAAGGAGTGCTGTACCTCCCCACCTGATTCCCTGGGTGACATCTTGGTGGTGAGGCACAGTGAGGACTCATGCAACCCAATTCCCTTCCAGCAGGCAGGTAGCGAGGACTCCAGCACTCCCCCATTCCTTCCACCCATGAGATTTGCAGGAAGGGGAATCCCATCTCCCTCCACCACTGCCCAGTTCACATGGCTTCAGGCCCCACTCCCCACCCCTGAGCCTGGGTTGAGTGATGGTGGTGTTTGAGAGCTGTTCTGCATTCAGAGTAACTCCAAGTGACTGCCGCAGCCATCCTAGAGCAGCTCCCAATGGAGTAAGGTCCATTTTAGCAGGTGAGAAGCTGTTTTCTCCTACCAAGAAACAGGTACCTACCATTACAGCCACAAAACATGAAACTTGATCATTCATTTTATATATATGACACCCCTGTTTATGACAATAAACTCCAAAGATGACTAAGAATCTCTCCCTTATATATAAAGCCATAGTGGGCTCCAACGTTCCAAACTGCACACCTTTAGTGTTTGGCCGCAAGAACTGTCAGTCAGAAGACGCTGGCTGGGTTGACTGGCTGCTTTGTGCAGTCCCGCCCAGCGTTTCAAGGTCTTTTGCATATGGAAGCTGATTGGACTTCACTCCATTCCACACCTCAAACTCACCCCCCTCCCCGCAAGGCAGTTGGAATGTCAGTTGCATATGGAACCTTCAAGGTCTTTTGCATATGGAAGCTGATTGGACTTCACTGCATTCCACACCTCAAACTCACCCCCCTCCCCGCAAGGCAGTTGGAATGTCAGTTGCATATGGAACCTTCAAGGTCTTTTGCATATGGAAGCTGATTGGACTTCACTGCATTCCACACCTCAAACTCACCCCCCTCCCCGCAAGGCAGTTGGAATGTCAGTTGCATATGGAACCTTCAAGGTCTTTTGCATATGGAAGCTGATTGGACTTCACTGCATTCCACACCTCAAACTCACCCCCCTCCCCGCAAGGCAGTTGGAATGTCAGTTGCATATGGAACCTTCAAGGTCTTTTGCATATGGAAGCTGATTGGACTTCACTGCATTCCACACCTCAAACTCACCCCCCTCCCCGCAAGGCAGTTGGAATGTCAGTTGCATATGGAACCTTCAAGGTCTTTTGCATATGGAAGCTGATTGGACTTCACTGCATTCCACACCTCAAACTCACCCCCCTCCCCGCAAGGCAGTTGGAATGTCAGTTGCATATGGAACCTTCAAGGTCTTTTGCATATGGAAGCTGATTGGACTTCACTGCATTCCACACCTCAAACTCACCCCCCTCCCCGCAAGGCAGTTGGAATGTCAGTTGCATATGGAACCTTCAAGGTCTTTTGCATATGGAAGCTGATTGGACTTCACTGCATTCCACACCTCAAACTCACCCCCCTCCCCGCAAGGCAGTTGGAATGTCAGTTGCATATGGAACCTTCAAGGTCTTTTGCATATGGAAGCTGATTGGACTTCACTGCATTCCACACCTCAAACTCACCCCCCTCCCCGCAAGGCAGTTGGAATGTCAGTTGCATATGGAACCTTCAAGGTCTTTTGCATATGGAAGCTGATTGGACTTCACTGCATTCCACACCTCAAACTCACCCCCCTCCCCGCAAGGCAGTTGGAATGTCAGTTGCATATGGAACCTTCAAGGTCTTTTGCATATGGAAGCTGATTGGACTTCACTGCATTCCACACCTCAAACTCACCCCCCTCCCCGCAAGGCAGTTGGAATGTCAGTTGCATATGGAACCTTCAAGGTCTTTTGCATATGGAAGCTGATTGGACTTCACTGCATTCCACACCTCAAACTCACCCCCCTCCCCGCAAGGCAGTTGGAATGTCAGTTGCATATGGAACCTTCAAGGTCTTTTGCATATGGAAGCTGATTGGACTTCACTGCATTCCACACCTCAAACTCACCCCCCTCCCCGCAAGGCAGTTGGAATGTCAGTTGCATATGGAACCTTCAAGGTCTTTTGCATATGGAAGCTGATTGGACTTCACTGCATTCCACACCTCAAACTCACCCCCCTCCCCGCAAGGCAGTTGGAATGTCAGTTGCATATGGAACCTTCAAGGTCTTTTGCATATGGAAGCTGATTGGACTTCACTGCATTCCACACCTCAAACTCACCCCCCTCCCCGCAAGGCAGTTGGAATGTCAGTTGCATATGGAACCTTCAAGGTCTTTTGCATATGGAAGCTGATTGGACTTCACTGCATTCCACACCTCAAACTCACCCCCCTCCCCGCAAGGCAGTTGGAATGTCAGTTGCATATGGAACCTTCAAGGTCTTTTGCATATGGAAGCTGATTGGACTTCACTGCATTCCACACCTCAAACTCACCCCCCTCCCCGCAAGGCAGTTGGAATGTCAGTTGCATATGGAACCTTCAAGGTCTTTTGCATATGGAAGCTGATTGGACTTCACTGCATTCCACACCTCAAACTCACCCCATTTGAGGGGTGGAGCCTGAAGAGGGTGGGGTTTGCGGAGGGGTGGGACCTCAGACAGATAGAATGCGATAGACTCCACCCTCCAAACCAGCCATTTCATCCTGGGTAACAATTGTTGCCAATCTCCAGGTGAGGACTATTGATCACTCAAAATTACAACTGCTCTTCAGGTAGCAGAGATCAGTTCCTCTGGAGAAAACAGTGGACTCTGTCATTATACCCTGTTGAGGTCACCACAGCAACTTGACACTGTTTGCCCAAAGCCCGAGCACTCTCCCAGAGCCTCTTTCTAGATCTCGTTGTATTTATTTCCACAATGGGCCTTATTCCTTGTAATTAATAAAAAAGCAATTGTTAAAAATGTTCCTCTCTCATCCTAATCACCAAGTGATAGCTCCAAGGAGTTAAACTTTTGGGAATGAACCATAACCCCCCCCCAAAAAACAATCATATTAATTGTCCTCTTCCCAGTCCTCACATGCAAGTTGTGATAATTAATCCCATTAAGTACCTAAATTAAGATTACATAATACTGTTGGGTGCATGGAATCTTATATCTCACACAAAAGCAGTAGCTTGTTCATTGGGCAGAGAACTGGGAGCAGACCAAATGCCACCTCTCTAGATAGTCCATCCTATCTTCCTGTGAGAGGCTGAGCCTATCTATGAGCTGCTGTGTATGTTTCTAAATATCATACCAGGTGGATGGCCACTCTGAAAAGCAAAAATTGATCTTGCAGACACTTCCCCCCCCAAAAAAATTCGAGCTTTGTACAGTTTATATTTACAAACTTAGGTCCTACAGCAACGCATGACAACTGTCCAACAGGACATTATCCAGCATTTTATTACAAGATTTTCCAAGGACCTGTAAATTTTGGAAACAGTTTAGAAGAAGAAGAGATTGGATTTATACCCCACCCTTCACTACCTGAAGGAAGGGAAAGGAGACTTACAATCTCCTTTCCCTTCCCCTCCCAACAACAGACACCCTGTGAAGTAGATGGGGCTGAGAGAGCTTTTTCAAGAACTGCTCATGAGAGAAGATGGGGCTGAGAGAGCTTTTTCGAGAACTGCTCATGAGAGAACAGCTCCAGGCGGCTGCCGCTGAGACGGGCACACGGTGACGTCGGACTCTGGTGCAGCGGAGCCGGAAGGACGTTGCTGGGGCCGGAGGAAAACGTGAATCGTGCGCCCCGAAGGAAGAACTGTCGCCGAACGTCGAAATGGGAGCCCGCCGGGACGAGCGGAGTGCCAAGTGGAGTGCCGAGGGCCGAGCCAAGAACGAACATCCCAACCACCAGCACAGGGGTGCTGATAGGTAACCCCACCCCTACAAACTCTGTGGCCCTAGTTAGGGAAAAACTGTGTGACTAGCACCACATGTAAGCCGCTCAGAGACCCCCTGAGAAAGAGGGTTCGAGCAGGATATAAAGTCTAAAGTTAAATAAATAAATAAATAAAATAACTTGTAACTGTCCCAAGGTCACACCAGCAGCTGCATGTGGAGGAGTAGGGAATCAAACCCAGTTCTCCTAGATTAGAGTCCTCACTCCTAACCACTACACCAAACTGGCTCTTTAGTTCAACAGTTTTACGTCATTAAAATTTCATTGGGATGCTAAATCTTTCTAACTAAATCAGTAAGACTAAAGTGTACTTTTTTGGATAAATCAAGGCCTTAATTTACAGGTCCTTGAAAATATTGTGTCATAATGCCATATAATGTCATGTCAGACATTCATCAATTATTTAAATATTATTTTTTACAAAATCTGGAACGGAGAAGAGCTGTCAATATTTCTGGAACAAAGAGTAGAGTCCACAAGAAAAATACATGTTCCTATGATATCACTTCATGATCACTTCATGAAGTATCACTTCATGAAATATAAGAAGCAAACACATAGTCTAGAACAGATCAACATCAAGCATAATATTTTTATGTTCTACAATACAAAAATAATTTAATTTGTACTTTCTGGAACCCAGCAGCAATACATCCTTACCATATATTCCATATTTGAAGCTTGGGGATAAACCTGACCGCGTAATTTATTATGAAGATCCAAGATACTTTGCATATCACTGTCTGTGATAGCCCTTTTCCCTCTTTGCTTAGCAGTCCACCATTCTCCATCCTCATCCATGTATTTTTCCAGCAACTTTTCAAAAAGTGTTGCATTGGGAAGTACCATGGAAGAAACTGCTTGAGCTATGCATAGCAGAGCAGTTACTTTGAACCATTCCTCTGCTACTTGTTTCATCATGAATGATCTCAAAACTCCTCTGGGTTAACTCCAAGAGAAAACCTTCTTCCAGGTATGCAGGCTGTAACAACAAAAGAGAGTGAGGTGATTTTGAAGTATAAGGGCTGACTTGAATTAATAACTGAGCAACAAGAGTCAAATGATGCTTTAAAGACCAGTTTACCAAGGTGGTATCTAGGGAGACTAAGGAGCCAGCTTATGCAGACACTCAACATTGACACTGTGGGCTTGAAACAATATATCTTTAGATTCATGAAATGAAGAGTGTACTAAGCGGGCTGTACTTCAATGCTCATTCGACAGAGCGCATGAAAAACACATTATCCCCATGAACATACTAAAACGAACCAGTCATAGAATTAACACATTAATTCTGTCCTTTTACAATACCAACTTTTCAAAATATTTTAAAACTGCAGGATAAACTTAAAATAAGAATATAGAGTCCTTTTTTAAAACAAAAATGCACAATCCAGCCAAAAGTGCCACTGAATTAAGTGGGAGAGATTTAAGCACATGCTTAACTCACCCACAGAAACTAGTGGCACTAAGATATTCAGTGTTGGCTGGTTTGTGTCATACTTTGCTCCACATTACAAGAGAATTCAAGACTTTTAAGACATCTAAGTCACAAGTTAAATTTATTTTGCAGTACAAGTAATAAATTACCTGATGTCTTTTCAATGAGTAACTCAAACTATACTGGTGTTCTCAAAAATTCTACCAGCAAATGTTTTGTATAGTTCTTTGGGTGCAACTCTGCAATAGTTATGCAACACGTACATCTCACAGAAATTAGCTGAACTTGCAAGTATTAAATTGTTATTTCAAAAAGACTACTTAGTTTGAAAAGGAAGAAATCACACCAATGTTTCCTCATCTTTGTTCAAAACTGCATGTAGCAAAGTTATGGACTAAGTTATTGGGGGAGAGGTGGAGGAGGAGCAGTATTGAACAATATCATGCATCACTTTAGAGCAGAAATTGATTTCAGTGGTTCCACTCCTATAAATATGAATAATACTTTCTATTTCAGTCACATGATAAATTTAGCTCAAAAAGTGTTTTTTCTTATGCTAAAAGAGCCAATGCTCCAAAAGATTACAAGGTACCACATTTGATATCAGGGCATTTTCGCAAGCTTGTATCAGGTTCCATTTTTGCCTCACTTGTCTCAGCAGGCGCACTTTCCCGCGAGAAATGCAGCTGTGCAGTGATGACTGTCTGCGACTGCGACCTCCCCCCCCCCCCCCGGGACCAGGTTGCTTCTTGGG